TGTGAAGAACCCGTTTGCATGGCTAAGTGATTTTGCAACATCTTATACATATCAAGGGAAATAATGCCTAAGGTTGCTTCAATCTTCAACAGTACCTCATATGGCGCATGTGCATTATGCATTTTTGCGCAGCCACAAGGCTTTCTGGCATTACGAACTGCTTTTGAATTTGATCTTCATGACGTTCGCCGATGGGCACGAGGTGAAAAGATTTACTTTGTTGTACCCACACAGCGTCTTATAGCAGCAAGGAGTTGTGCTTCATTGGTAAAAGTGAAAGTAAGTTAGTTGGTCGTCACACACATCCTCATATTGATTGATAGTCCATGTCGAATATCGTAAAAAACATTGTACGGAAATTTTCATGAGCTTAAACTATGCCTTTGTTTAGACACAATTGTCAAGTTACCGTAAGTAGCACAAATCGCGCTAAAGTGAGAAGTAATCTTTCTGACGAAGATTATGATCAATGGCACTTGTGCGTAGCGATACATAATAGAAAGAGTGACTTACGTATTATAATTTTGTTGTTTTTTTTCCTTGGCACTTGTGCGTAGCGATACATAATAGAAAGAGTGACTTACGTACTATAATTTTGTTGTTTGTTGTTTTCTTCTTTTTTTTGTTTGCTTTTATAGATTATTTAATAATTTTATCGTTTAAAGATCTTAAAGGTAATTTGCGAATTTTCTTATCCTTAGGATGAATTGAAATATGTAGTAAAAGTATTTCTTATGAAAATATTATGCTTTCCGTTGTGAAATCTTAGATTATCTGAATGAAACGTTAAAGAATTTCTTTTATGTTGTTCAGAAAAATTGTGTCATAAATAAGGAGCAACAGGGAGTTTAATGGCTAACCACAACAATAACTGCAGCAATAGTAATAAAAACGTTTTAAAAACGGGCAATTGTGACAACACACATTACCTGACCATACATGTCGGAGCCGTATACGAAAGAGTAGTAAGAAGAAAAAAAAAAAAAAAAAAAAAAAAACAAGGGGAAAAAAGACACAAACACATAAAGAAAGTGATTCGCTTCAAAAAGCGTAACGTGACTAAGTGTCATAACCACAGAAATGGAGCATAAATAAAGACAGACACACAAATCAGACACAAATTCATACACGTACTTAACGAAATAACAATGGCTGACCGACTAACTGACTCACTTAGTTTGAATAGTTAGTTTATGGCTAATGTTGGCTGACTTTGTTATCCCATAGGCTCCACTTTTGAAATAAGCATTTTTACGCAACTAATTGTGATGGAGCTTAAGCTTAACCTATGATATATATATATATATATACATACGTGCAAGTATGTATATACGTACACGTATATACTGATATTTATATATATATATATATATACACATATATGTACAAAAGATGTGTATGCATATATATATATATAATGTTAGGTCATATATGCATATATATATATATAATGTTAGGTATATATATGATGTTAGGTCGTATACTTTATAAATTATTAAAATAAAAGAAAACCAAGTTCTTTCCTCTGCATTGTGCAGACTACTATTGTTCTCAAACATTATATACGTTCGTGTGTCCATTTCATGTTGTTCTCAAATTTCGACTAATTTAAGAGGCTTGCAGAAAAAATGAAGAAAACCAAGGAATAAGTTTATCTTTATAAGGATTTGTAAATTTTTTTTTTTTTTTTTTTTTTT